GAGAGCCCCAGGGTGTGAGAAGGTGATAGAACCCTCCGAACAGGGAGGGAGGGAGGGAGGGAGGGAGGGAGGGAGGGGGGTTTGGGGGGAAGGGAGGGAGGGAAGGAGACAGACAAAGAGAGACAAAGAGAGACAAAGAGACAGAGATGGAGAGAGCCCCAGGGTCTCAGAAGTTGATAGAACCCTCCTAACAAAAGGGCCCTGTTTGCCTCAACTGGGCAAACAATTACAGTGATACAGAAGAAGCCAGGACAGGATCAGGGTTAGAGAGGAGGAGGAAGGTCTTGGGAACAGTACAGGATAAAATCAGGCAGTTCCTGGTCTCCTCATTAGCCTTTCCTTTCCTTTGTTTGTTTGTTTACATTCCAAACGCTGCTCCCCTTGTCTGTCCCTTTCTGATGTACCGTGTCCACTCCAGCCAAGAGAAGCTCAGGAAAGGTGCCAACAGTCTCCTGAGGACTGAGCAATTCATTAGTCAGCAGGAAGTGCAGGTAGCCAGATACCCGGACCCCATCTGGCCCAGCCGTCTGTAGCTGGGCTTCTATCTCCTGGATTTTTTGATCAATCAGCTTCTTCCCTGCATGGAAAACAGAGGAGAGTGTGTTTAAATCACTAAGTAGGTACTGTGAAGGAAGTCACGGGGAGAGGCCAGCTTCCTTGCCTGGCCCCAGATTAGGACACCTCACCAAAGAAGAAGATGGTATCCCAGTTATTCAGGTATCGCTTCCAAAAGGGCAGCAGAGGACGAGTCCACTTGGGAAGAAAAGTGACATAGACTGAGTTCTGGAACATGAGCCCAACTGAGCTGATGAAGGTAGCAGTGTCCTCAGGGATGGAGGGCTCCAGGCAGCCAACCCTTTTCTCAAACAGGATGTAGCAGATGGCTATGAAGTAGAGAGGCTGTCAGAGCAGGCAGAGCCAGAGGACTGAGAATCCATGGTCCTCATTAAAGCCCACTCCTGACCCCGACCCCCACCCCTGCTCTCCCAACAAGGCTACCTTCCAAGGCAAGGTGGTAAAGAAGATGAGACATGTCTGGCACCTCATCCCCTGATGCACTCTCTGCCCGCACCTGGTCCAGCCGGGTAATAAAGTCACTGATCACCTCGTTTAAGGCATCTGTGTAGAGTGCAGCCTCAGCAGGCTTCAGCAGCCGCTGTTTCAAACCCTGACGCAGATGGTACCACTGCTGTCCTTGTCTGGGGAATGCCAAGAACGGCACAAGTAAGCACGGGACTAAAGTAAATGGTATCCCATCCACCCACAAGGTCTCCA